AATGTTGTGATGAAATATAAAATTTAATTTACATGCTGTGTCAGTTGATAAAATGAAAAATGAAAAATTAAAGATTCTATCAAACTATGTTTCTTCTTTTCGTGCTGATTTTGTGTATTGATATACACGATTAAAAGTTAAATTCAATTTAGCGTGAATCAATTAAACCTGGCTGATTCCGGAGAGCCTCCCCGCACTGGGGCTGTGAAAGAGGTTGCATACCCTCGGGTCTAGTGGTCCAGGCCTTTCACGCCATTTATTCAACTCCCTTTATTAGCTGTATCGATGTTGTAAATTTGTTTTCAGATTAAATACCAACATCTAACTGCCGACAAACGGGCTTAACCAACCGTAAAGGTAGAAGCGTGGAGCGAAAAAAAGATTATCACTAATTTCCTGTGAAATCCGATTTTTGATAGCCATGTTTTCCCGACGTTCTTTCTGAATCACAGAGCCAGGTACGCGAATGGTCGGAGAGGACTTAGCGGCACGTGCTATGGAAATTCGTCTATACGGTATAGATTGTCTGAATGGATTAACTAAACAGTCCTGTTATTTACACCTTTCTACACACATTTACCTTTTGTGATTTAGAACAGGACTGCTCAAAACAGGCCCATCTTAACGACATTTTTCAATTAATACTTCCAGAAACACCCGTACTGTAAAACAACAATCTACCTGCCGCTAATAGGCGCCTTGTGTAACGTAACCGATCATAGCTTACGGGTATATTTTTTATCCTAATTTATTGTTACACAGATAGAACTTGTTTTAGTATCAAAACTGGTCACACATGTTATATATCCATGTACTTTAAACTTTATTCATACTTGATGTTACATTCCGTGTACATATTCCTGATGCAGGGCAATGACATAGAGACATGGTATATGTTTTGGTAGAATCACTGTCAAACTCGGCTTCCAATTCTGTATCATCATCCAATTTTAATTTTAATGTCCTCTTTTTTTGTGTATAAATCAATATTGGACACGCTCAGATAACAAATATATCTTTCTTTATTTATATGAGTCATAGAAGTAATGTTAACGGTAAATATAACTTCCTAAATAACAAACGTATGGTTTGTAGGATACGAATGACTTAGAATTGGTCTATGGGGCAAGGAAGTGATTCTAACAGTGTACACAATATGATGTTGTCAAATTCTTTGCCATGATAAACATTTGACAATAAAACAAACCCTTCTAATCTACTACAATGATTAATTTATATAGATAAAGGAGTGTACAATATACATGTATATTTCTTTCATTTTACAATTTATTGCTGAAGTGACTAGACAATTTGTTTACAGTGTACCAATTAGAGGAGTTTGTTCAGCAATAACATGGAACTGTTTATTGTTTATTCCACTTGAAGCCTTACGGCTCATAAGCATTCACAGCAATGTATAATTGATACATCAGTGATATTAAATACCAAATAATTCTAACATCATGAACGAAGCATAATCTTGTACATCGCATATATATGTAGTACCTATAAATAGACAGTATAATTCTTTAAATTATTATAAAGTACAAGATAAATAAATTAACGGAAGATGGACAGCTCTTGTAAAATTACCTCACCTACAGAGTAAGTGTACCGTGGCTATCGAAAAACAGATGAGGTGACAACATTTTCTTCGCTCAACCGGGGCTCAATAAGGAATATGTTCATTACAAAAACAACAAAAAACAGGCATACATTTTGTATGCAATGGTGTAGTCAGGGGATGGACAAAACAATATGTGTAAACCTGGAAATAAACAATTACTCCTATGTTATCAGTCCGAGTGAGAAAAAACACAATAATATAACTAAGGTTGGAATCTAGACCGTTTTCCTAGATTACCAGTGGCGGACCCAGGGGTGTTGCCCTAGTTGCACGGGCAACACCCTTTTTCTGTGTCCAAAATTAATCTGGACCAAGGTTGTTGAAGTTTTCCTCTATTTCACATGGGATTTCCTTCTAATATCAACCTCTCTTGAACTATGTTTTTCTATGTGGCTTCCACTTGCTAGCAGTTTGAATATCTATATATGCCTAAGGGTGTTGCCCCAACAAGGAGTCCACTACTTATACTCTAAACAGTAGGATATTAATCCTCCATTGTCTATATATTAATAGGGTCTCCAGTCAGGTCAGTGGTCCAGACTTACCGTACTGACTTTACCTTATCTTATTGTTCTAATGTCACGGTGTGGTGATCACCCTGTTAGTTGGGAGAGGACTATACCAAGTATCGGAATTAGGTATATAGATAAAGTGTTATTTCAAAGGTAGAGTATATTTCATGATAGATCTATATACCTGTATTTTCACCTGTGGTTTCAAGTACACATGGCCACCAGGAGTGATTTATTATACCAATTGAGAATATAAATTTCAAAATTTTCAAAGACAATGAAGCACCCTCCTTAGCATTAATTTTTAAGGTGAATAATAACCAATGTTGGCATCAAAGCCTGGCGTGTACATCCTTTTCATTAGGTGTTGCCCTTGTACATACGTATGCATACTATTTCGCAATAAATGAGAAACAGTTTAATCCTAATTCATATTTATGACAAAATAAATTAACATTTAATTGCCAAAATGCTGGCCTAAACTACAAGTTCATGTAGATTCAAGCGCATTATGAGGTAAATCTATAGATGTCTCAATCTCAGAAAATGGAAGGAAAGGGAAGTTCTATATATTTTTGGTGGCAGAAAGTAGTATGTAGAACTGACATGGCAATACTTATTTATAACCCCCCCNTAATTAGGTGGAAACGATACCAACTAACTGCATTTTATAATAGTTAAACGAGCGTTTTCCAATTAAATAAGCTTGATACTCAATTCCATACCAATTCAATGAATTACATGTAAATTAACAGGATATTTGTAATTCAATTGATGTGTGTTTATATAGATAACCCTTTACTTACAATAATTATTGACTCTATTAATGCTGTTGATAGGAATCACATGAATACAATAAAATAAAAATAAGTTAATCGGTTTCAAGCATGACTTCATATTTGATATTTAACTTTCCACTCAAGTAAGAACCAATGAAACTACGAAGAGTCGCCCGTTTCATTCGCGTTTAACATTTCCTGTGCGAACTTGTGCCTATAATATCTTACCATCAAATCCAATACTAAGTCTGTCTGAAATTATCAACCATTGACAAATTAAAACGTATAATATTCGCTTATGGTGTTTTTTTAATAATATAAATGATGAATTAAGAAAAAAGTTACATCCAGCATGGCCTATAAACAAGACCATTCAATGACTGACTATATTTTAACACAAGGCGGATACGTAGACTTATGCAAGATTCGCACTCGAGTTTCTAATGGCAGATATGTAAACACAGACTCAAAGGATAACGGGCTTAATTACAAATATAAAGACTGAATATTACTTTGGTTGATCAGTTGAGTTGTCTTCATGAATTCAACACGAATTGCTGAACGTCTACGTCAGTTTATTTCCCAAATACCCATAGATTTACAGACATAACAAATACCCATAGATTTACAGGCATAACAAATACCCATAGATTTACAGGCATAACAAATACCCATAGATTCACAGACATAATAAATACCCATAGATTCCCAGGCATAACAAATACCCATAGATTTACAGGCATAACAAATACCCATAGATTTACAGGCATAACAAAATAGATATATAATGTATAAGAAGACTTATAGATGTAATTAGAAAAGTATATTACTTCCACACTGTATGCAGAAAATGGAAGGATGACCGTTAGAAACGGAACTTCAAAACGTGTGAACAATATCCACTCCTACCGGACATTATATACAGGTACTGTACATGTATATGTAAATGTGAAGCATGAAGGAGTGGACATGGAAAGCCAATTACACATGTAGGTACATCATAATAATATAATCATACAATTAACTTTCAAAAAGGTTAAAATGCCTGACACACAGTCGTGTCATATAAAATTCTTAAATCTAATCAAGATAATAACTTATAGGGAAATATTGATATATCATTTTGCTGCTAGGCTTATTAACTTGCTTTGTAATCAAGAAAAGTAGTGGTTTTTTTTACAATTATAAATAAGAAGAAGTAAATAATAATTAATCAATAGGAATAACAGTTGTGTATACTGTTGTTTGTGTATTTTAGAATAAAACTAGGACTTTCAACAATTAACCCCGAGATGTAAAATAATTAAAATAGATTGTACATGTATCTAGAACGAAAATTAAAACAAAGCCGGACGGAGAGTTGTTTGGAATAAGGCAGTATGATGTCGACTAATTCCGTTGGACCACAAGACTGACAAAGTTATCGAACTCTACATGGCACACATCTGTATAAATTACCAGCGTTACAATAGCCACACAGCCACTGTAGCAGGTCAAAGGGTAGATAACTCTTACAGACACTCCAGCATTTAGACATAAAATGATTTTGTTTGTTTTAGATGTCACAAATGCATTAGCGTTTTTGTTTGTTTTGCAAATTGGAATATATATTCCCTGTTTAGAAACAGACCGTATGCATTTATTTGCAAGTTAGGCTCGAATACTTTCCGTGAAGTCCCTGTAATATTTTGAATATAATTTTGAATGGTGTATATTTTATTCCCAGTTTGCCGACAAAGCTTTGTCATCTCAGAAGTTGCTGATAAGATTTAATTGTATCACTGATTTTCATTTATCTTTACATTTAAACTTTTATTATGGACATAAGAATTTACAAAACAATAAAACAGAATACAAAATAGATACAAGACATACCACGTTGTAAGTGTTTTAAAATGATTGAGTACATTTATGAAATAAATTAAGTTAGAAACTGGGGAAATAAAACTATCCAGGAAATAGGTGTATCTAATGACAACAAAAAGGAATTTCCTGTCGGTACCAGTCTAGCGGGAAAACAAAACTGTTTCTGACATGATTTAGGAGTCATCTTATGAATAATGCAATTATCGACATTTTTACTTATCCATAATGATTTATACCACTGCCAGGTAACAGAACAGGTGCGATATACCTGTAATCAGCCAAGTGTTCTTTCTCATATCTGTAATCAGTCGAGTGTTCTCTCTCATACCTGTAATCAGCCGAGTGTTCCCTCTCATATCTGTAATCAGCCGATTGTTCCCTCTCATACCTGTAATCAGTCGAGTGTTCTCTCTCATACCTGTAATCAGCCGAGTGTTCCCTCTCATACCTGCAATCAGCCGATTGTTCTCCCTCACACCTGCAATCAGCCGAGTGTTCTTTCTCATATCTGTAATCAGTCGAGTGTTCTCTCTCATACCTGTAATCAGCCGAGTGTTCCCTCTCATATCTGTAATCAGCCGATTGTTCCCTCTCATACCTGTAATCAGTCGAGTGTTCTCTCTCATACCTGTAATCAGCCGAGTGTTCCCTCTCATACCTGCAATCAGCCGATTGTTCTCCCTCACACCTGCAATCAGCCGAGTGTTCTTTCTCATATCTGTAATCAGTCGAGTGTTCTCTCTCATACCTGTAATCAGCCGAGTGTTCCCTCTCATATCTGTAATCAGCCGATTGTTCCCTCTCATACCTGTAATCAGTCGAGTGTTCTCTCTCATACCTGTAATCAGCCGAGTGTTCCCTCTCATACCTGCAATCAGCCGATTGTTCTCCCTCACACCTGTAATCAGCCGAGTGTTCTCTTTCATACCTGTAATCAGACGAGTGTTCATTCTCACATCTGCAATCAGCCGAATATTCTGCCTCACACCTGTAATCACCCGGGTGTTCTCTCCAATACCTATATTAAGCAGAATATTCTTCCTCATACCTAAAATCAGCCGAGTGTTCTCCCTCGTACCTGTAATCAGCCGAGTGTTCTCCCTCATACCTGTAATCAGCCAAGTTTTCATTCTTATATATGTATTCATCCGAGTATTCACCCTCTTATCTGTAAACTTCCGAGCGTTCTTCCTCTCACCTGTAATCAGCCGAGTGTTCTCTCTCATACCTGTTATCAGTCGAGTGTTCTCTCTCATACCTGTTATCAGTCGAGTGTTCTCTCTCATACCTGTAATCAGCCGAGTGTTCTCTCTCATATACCTGTAATCAGCTGAGTGTTCATTCTCACACATGTAATCAGCCGAGTGTTCTCTCTCATACCTGTACTCAGCCTAGTGTTCATTCTCACACCTGTTATCAGTCGAGTGTTCTCTCTCATACCTGTAATCAGACGAGTGTTCATTCTCACACCTGTAATCAGCCGAGTGTTCTCTTTCATACCTGTAATCAGACGAGTGTTCATTCTCACATCTACAATCAGCCGAATATTCTGCCTCACACCTGTAATCACCCGGGTGTTCTCTCCAATACCTATATTAAGCAGAATATTCTTCCTCATACCTAAAATCAGCCGAGTGTTCTCCCTAGTACCTGTAATCAGCCGAGTGTTCTCCCTCATACCTGTAATCAGCCAAGTTTTCATTCTTATACATGTATTCATCCGAGTATTCACCCTCTTATCTGTAAACTTCCGAGCGTTCTTCCTCTCACCTGTAATCAGCCGAGCATGATAACAAGGATAAGCCTTACCTGAGTGTATCAGAACACGTCATCTGTAATATTGAAAGGTCCACAAAAATAAGTTAATGAAATACAAATTAAAATACCTATAGATACAATTGCATGCGTATCTTTATCATAGATTCGGAAAAGGCAGTAATAAGACAAGCAGTCTTAAATATTATATTGAAGAGAACCGGAATTGACATGAGTAATTGAAAATACATGGTTAATTGAGTAAATATTTCACGTAAGCAAATTTATCAAACATTTCCAATATTATTAAAATTTTGATAGCAGATATGGTAAGCAGTGAAACCTGTCTTTGTACAGTATGTTTTGTATCGGCTAACATAGTTTACGGGATCAAAACTCTTGGTCTTCTCTTTAAATAAAAAAGTAAATTTTAAAAGACAATTTTGCTAATACATATTTGATTTGTATTGGTTCATAGCTTTATTTGAGAATCTAGATCATGAACATCATATATGCACATAGACCCTTTCATACGTAAATTCCTCATTTGTGTTGATTTATTTCATTGTCGTGTGTTCAATAGTCGTATTTGTGTAGGTGATCGGCCATGTCTGATACATCCTATATTAGCGCTATGTTTCAGCGTGCATCAACCGCAGTCATTATCACGGATAGATCAAATCTGCCAGGCAAAAACACCACAGGCAAAATCCATAACAAATGATAATTTTTCAATTGATCTGTATTTCCCGTGACATCCGAAATTATCTATTCAAACATTGAATGCATTAACTAAAACATATTTAGCATGTGTAGTTATTTTTATACAGGAAGCAACAAGGGAAATCGTGATTTAACGATTTTTTCCGGGATTAGAGACAGATTAAACAAAATGGCCGACTTGATATCACTTCACCCTTAGTTACGTATAAAATGTTTTCCTCTCAGGTAATGAATTTCGGAAGTTTTTGTAGTATTCCGTTCGGAAGGTGCCTAGTTTTAAACGGAAGATGCTCATCCGATACAAATAAAGGGCATTTCCAGGCAGGTAAGGCCGGGAATTCCGGCGGAAACGGAAAGGGATATGTATCGATCGGGAGGCCTGCCAGGTCCCACCGCTAAATGGGAAGTCGACAGGACATGCTAATTTACAGATATAGTAGCCAAAGTTAGAGATATATAATGTATATATATTCATGTTCAAACAAAATCCGTTTCCAGTATTAACAGCAACTGAAGTGTTCTGACAACACGCCATTGATACTGCCGTATTTGTCGAAGGAAAACTCAATCTCCTTAGTTTATTTAAGTCTGCTTGGGAAAGGAAATTAAATGTATAATCCGCGCTCATACAGGAGCGGTATACAAATGAGAAACAATGGCGGAAGCGCGCTCCGGGTCCACGTCATTTGCATATTTGCCCGGCTAGAAGACTTCCATAATGGCTGAACCAAATAAACACTGCTGTGTGCTCTTAGTTGACTTCCGGTGCACGCGGGATTGCTATGGTAACATACGTTTAACTACATTCAATGTGACATCGAGAATGATCCGTCGCTTTTATGTATGGAAAGTTACTCTCTGCCGTTCACATTACATTTATTTCATGGTCATGTTTCTGCTAAGAACGTGAGTAATAAAGTATGCCTTCGTCAGAGGTTGTACATACACAGTAATGCGCTATACTCGGTCTTCGTTAATTAGCCCTAGATTCTGTCGCTCAAATAAAATGGCGACATTATCAGAGAGAGGTTTGGAGAAAGGTTCGCAGTTAATGGTCTCCTGGTTAATTACTGGTACGCCAGAGCGTTAACACACACATCGGCACGAGCTCCGTAAGTGTCACCTTTATTGATATTAATGCGATACCTATTTGCATTAAAGAAGCACAACCCATATGCTATTTTTTGACTGAAATATATCGGCTGATAACGTTTGAAATGTATATGATATCCACTACGTAAACGTCTATATTTTTATACAATGTGTTATCTTAAACGGTTTTGTTATTTGATGACATATATCCCCGATTAATTCAAATCAGCACAGGCGGAAACAACCAGATAGAAACTGCAGTAAGAAGAGAAAAAGAACAATAGGAAAAGACGAAGAGCGATTAGAAGAGACGAAGAGCGACCAGAACAAATGAAGACTACTAAGATAGACAGAACAGCACGACCGCATAACCAGAAAAAACAGAACAATCAGACCAAAAGGGATAAACAAAGCAGCTAGGGACTGACATAGATATCCCGGAATAGACAAGTGACGGAACAAACAAACGGATAACACGCATAACACAAGGAACTAGAACAGACAGGGGACGGAACATACGGAGAACGCGCATAACACAAGGAACTACAATAGACAGGGGACGGAACAAACGCAGAACGCGCATAACACAAGTAACTAGAATAGACAGAGGACGGAACAAACGGAGAACGCACAAAGCAGACAAGGAACTAGCATAGACAGGGGACGGAACATACGCAGAACGCGCATAACACAAGGACCTAAACGGAGAACGCGCATACCACAAAGAACTAGAATAGACAGGGGACGGAACAAACGGAGAACGCACAAAGCAGACAAGGAACTAGCATAGACAGGGGACGTAACAAACGCAGAACGCGCAAAACACAAGGAACTAGGATAGACAGAGGACGGAACGAACGGAGAACGCGCATAACACAAGGAACTTGAAAAGACAGGGGACGGAACAAACGCAGAACGCACAAAGCAGACAAGGAACAAGCATAGACAGGGGACGGAACAAACGCAGAACGCGCATAACACAAGGAACTAGAATAGACAGGGGATGGAACATACGAAGAACGCGCATAACACAAGAAACTAGAATAGACAGTATGACGGAACAAACGCAGAACGCGCATGAAACAAGCAACTAGAATAGACAGTTACGGAACATACGGAAAACGCGCATATCATACGGAACTAGAATAGACAGGGGACGGAATAAACGCAGAACGCGCATAACACAAGGAACTAGAATAGACAGGGGACGGAACAAATGCAGAAAGCGAATAACACAAGGACCTAGAATAGACAGAGGACGGAACAAACGGAGAACGCGCATACCACAAAGAACTAGAATAGACAGGGGACGGAACAAACGCAGAACGCGTATAACACAAGGAACTAGAATACACAGGGGAAGGAACAAACGCAGAACGCGAATAACACAAGGAACTAGAATAGAAAGGGGACGGAAAAAACGGAGAACACGCATAACACAAGGAACTAGAATAGACAGGGGACGGAACAAACGGAGAACGCGCATAACACAAGGAAGTAGAATAGACAGCGGACGGAACAAACGCAGAATGCGCATGACACAAGGAACTAGAAAAGACAGGGGATGGAACATACGAAGTACGCGCATAACACAAGAAACTAGAATAGACAGGATGACGGAACAAACGCAGAACGCGCATAAAACAAGCAACTAGAATAGACAGGGGACGGAACATACGGAAAACGCGCATAACATACGGAACTAGAATAGACAAGGGACGAAACAAACGCAGAACGCACATAACACAAGGAACTAGAATGGACAGGGGACGTAACAAACGCAGAACGCGCATAACACAAGGAACTAGTATAGATAGGGGACGAAACAAACGGAGAACGCACATAGCAGAAAAGGACCTAGAATAGACAAGGGACGGAACATACGGAGAACGCACATAACACAAGGAACTAGAATAGACAGGGGACGGAACAAACGGATAACGAGCATAACACAAGGAACTAGAATAGACAGGGGACGGAACAAACAGAGAACGCACATAGCAGACAAGGAACTAGAATAAACAGGAGACGGAACAAACGGAGAACGCGCATAACACAAGGAACTAGAATAGACAGGGGACGGAACAAACAGAGAACGCACATAGCAGACAAGGAACTAGAATAGACAGGAGACGGAACAAACGGAGAAAGCGCATAACTCAAGGAACTAGAATAGAAAGGGGACGGAACATACGGAGAACGCGCATAGCAGACAAGAAACTAGAATAGACAGGGAACGGAACAAACGCAGAAAGCGAATAGCACAAGGAACTAGAATAGACAGGAGACGGAACAAACAGAGAACGCGCATAGCATACAAGGAACTAGAATAGACAGGGGACAGAACAGACGGAGAACGCGCATAACATACAAGGAACTAGAATAGACAGGGGACGGAACAAACGCAGAACGCGCATAACACAAGGAACTAGAAAAGACAGGGGACGGAACATACGGAGAACGCGCATAACACAAGGAACTAGAATAGAAAGGGGACGGAACAAACGCAAAATGCGCATAACACAAGGAACTATAATAGAAAGGGGTCGGAACAAACGCAAAATGCGCATAAAACAAGAAACTAGAATAGACAGGGGACGGAACAAACGGAGAACGTGCATAGCAGACATGGAACTAGAATAGACAGGGGACGGAACATACGGAGAACGCGCATAACACAAGGAACTATAATCGACAGGGGACGGAACAAACGGAGAACGCGCATAACACAAGGAACAAGAATAGACAGGGGACGGAACAAACGCAGAACGCGAATAACACAAGGAACTAGAATACACAGGGGAAGGAACAAACGCAGAACGCGAATAACACAAGAAACTAGAATGGAAGGGGGACGGAACATACGGGGAACACGCATAACACAAGGAACTAGAATAGACAGGGGACGGAACAAACGGAGAACACGCATAACTCAAGGAACTAGAATAGACAGGGGACGGAACAAACGGAGAACGCACACGCACAAAGTAGGCAAGGAACTAGAATAGACAGGGGACGGAACAAACGGAAAACGCGCATACCATACATGGCACTAGAATAGACACGGGACGGAACAGACGGAGAACGCGCATAGCAAACAAGGAACTAGAATAGACAGGGAACGGAACAAACGCAGAACGCGCATAACACAAGGAACTAGAATAGACAGGGGACGGAACAAACGGAGAACACGCATAACACAAGGAATTAGAATAGACAGGGGACGGAACAAACGGAGAACGCGCATAACACAAGGAACAAG